GTTATCTTTAAGAATTAATTTGAATGCGTTCCAGATTGAAATTTTAGCTGAAATTTGGTATGAGTAAACTAGACTTGATGAATAAGATGCTAAAAAACATTCATCAAAAAATTCCATCGGGAATCGCCCCAAATCGCGACGGCCGGACAGAGCCTCCTATATAAGGACTTATTTGACCTTTTTATGAAAGCTCGAGAACCTATTTGACAGTTTTCCCTATTCGTTTCATATTTGAATTCGGGTTCGGATTTGAAAAAATTGAACAAATACAAATACGAAATCCCACTATTCGACTCGGTTCGGTTCATTTACAACCCAACTATTGGGAGGGTTGGTATTACCATAATACTGTTCATCATTATTTAGGTCAATTATATTCTTTTTAAAACTACTTTTTATTGTAAAAACAAATTATTTTACTATTAGTACCGATTTAATTTAATAAAACAAAGTAACTTTAAATGGTCTAAAGAGGCATTCTTTTTTCATATTCAATATATATTGGACATAGATATGTATAATAACATTCAAACATTAGTATCAAAACTAATGTTCCTGACCAAGAAAGGAAAGTGTGTAAATTAATTAAATCATTGTATAGATTGAAACAATCCCCTAAACAGTGGCACGAAAAGTTCGATCATGCAATGTTAATTAATGATTTTAAAATAAACGAAAGTGACAAATGCGTCTATGTGAAGAGCACGGTAGACGGCTATGTCATTTTATGTTTATACGTGGATGATATACTCATCGTGGGTAGCAATAATCTAATGATTAATTCTACCAAAAACATGTTAAATTCTAAATTTGACATGAAGGATATGGGGCTGACCGATTTAATCCTTGGGATTAAAATAATTAGAGGACCTGACGGTCTTACGCTAAGCCAATCCCATTACGTTGATAAAATCCTTACGAAATTTAATCAGGATGATTATCAAGAGACAAGGACTCCATTAGATAAAAACGTACAATTTACCAAAAATCGTGGAGAGTGTATTTCTCAAGTAGAATACGCTAGGATTATTGCAAGTTTGATGTATCTAATGAGTTGTACCAGGCGTGATATTGCCTTTGTGGTTAGTAAGCTAAGTAGATATACTAGCAACCCCGGTGATGAACACTGGAAGGCAATAGTAAGGGTTTTGAGGTATTTACGTAAAACCCAAAACCTGAGACTGCACTATGGAAGATATCCAGCTGTACTTGAAGGGTATAGCGACGCTAGTTGGATATCCGACATAAAGGACTCTAAGTCCACAAGTGGATACGTTTTCACTTTGGGAGGTGCAGTCGTGTCATGGAAATCCTCAAAACAAACGTTAATAGCTAGATCCACGATGGAGTCTGAGCTAATAGCCTTGGATAAGTGCACTGAAGAGGCTGAATGGCTACACCATTTTCTCGAGGATATTCCAAGTTGGGAAAAATCTGTCCCTCCAATATGCATGCATTGCGATTGTCAAGCGGCAATTGGAAGGGTACAGAGCAATATGTACAATGGTAAGTCTAGACACGTTCATCATAGACATAACACCATTAAACAACTCCTCACAACGGGTGTTATCACTGTTGACTACGTGAAGTCAAAGGATAACATAGCGGATCCGCTAACCAAGGCATTGGATAGAGAATTGTTGGAAAAATTGTCACGAGGAATGAGACTAAAGCCCGTGAATTGAAAAGTTCTATAGTGGATACTCAACCTAGTTGATCCTAGGTTCAAAAAGGACAACTAAATTATAGAGCGAAGGATGGTCACTGTGGGGGTCCCGGACTCCTACCCACTCCTCGTTAAAACAGTGACTCCCGCACGAGGTTAGCAAAAACGTTTGCTTTAATAATTCTAAAATGTTGATCTACTCGATAACATTGGAAGAGTATGCGGGATACTCGTGAAAGAATCACCTATGTGAGAGAGAAGAGGGCCGCTTCAAAGGAGAACTGTAAAGGCTCAGTTCTTTAGAAACTTTTGCAGAACCAGGACGGTGACCCATGGCCAAAACGGGCACACCCATGAGAACGGAACAAAGTTGGAAGGTTCTTGTGTAAAGATAAGTCAATGTTTACACGACGGCAGTATAGTTCAAGGACATCGAGTCTACTAGACAGTCAGTAAATAAACGTGTCTTTACAGCGGAAGGTTCAAAGGATAAAACTTACCTCTCCGTATGCAAGGATCATCCGGTGAACACAATGTGTCCTCCTATCTTCGTGTCTTTTTAAGTCTCAAAAATCAATTCTCATTCATGTGGGGGATTGTTGAAAAAATGTGTTGAAAATTACATTAAATGGTGATTTTGGGGAAATTATTTGAGTGGGGTCCACTTCCGATTTGGGTCGGGTCAAAGTGATTTCGGAATGTCCTCGTTAAGGGCTACAATTCGATATGTGGTACACTCAAAACGGATAACGGGTGAATGAGAAATTGATTCTCGAAGTTCACTCGTTGAAATGAAAAAACTGGGAAAATGATGGGTTTCTAGTGTGTTTTATCCCACACCGGAAAATTCAAGGGATTTTCACCCCCTTATAAAGGGAAGCCTCTTTGAAAAAGTTAAGATTCCTAAAGGTAAAGACTCTCTCTTACGCACAGGGGGGGTGCCGATCAAATCCCGAAACGGAGAAGAAAAATCGCGACTCGTGTGCGCGAGCGACCTGCGGACACGAATGTCGTCCGAAAATCTATCATTCAAAGATACGGTCTAATTTTTGTTTCTTCCCGTAACTTTTTATTTTTCCCAGTGACAGAAGGGGTCGAGTTCTGTCCGAAACAGAGATGCTCGAGTTCTGTCCGCAACAGAAAGCCTCGAGGTCTTCTGTTCGCAACAAAGACGCTCGCGGTCTTCTGTTCGCAACAGAGACGCTCGAGGTCTTCCGTTCTCAACAGAGACGCTCGAGGCCTTCTGTTCGCAACAGAGACCCTCGAGGCTTTCTGTTCGCAACAGAGACGCTCGAGGCCTTCTGTTCGCAACAGAAGGTCTTCTGGTCTGTTACAGCAATAAATGCCCAACGTTCTTCTCTTTTAATGCTGCATTAAATGGACAGTTTATGGACGATTCAATGCCCAACGGACTGGTCATTGATGTCCAACGTTCAGGTCCATTAACACCCCATTTAACACACAACAAATCCTCCTATAAATAGCTGGCAGGTGATTTGCAACAAGACACAACACACAAATACACAATACATTCCTCACGTTTTCTTGAGCTAAAAAACACTTCCATCTACTCCAAAATTTCCCTAGTGTTCTGCTATTGTTCCAGTTCGCCGAGACTTTTGTTTGTGTGCTCAAACGATCGTACGTTAGCCACCGTATCCTAGGAAACGGTCGTTGCAACGCTCCTAGCATCGTAGGAGGCGACGAATACGTTTTAAGGACATCGTGCGTAGCACGAGCTCTGGCTAAAATCTGCTCCATCTTATTTTCTGATTTCTTTTAGCTATTTTATTTATTAATTAATTTTATTTAATTAATATTTCTTCGTTTTTTCCGAAACACACCCAACATGAGTCACTAGAGGTGTAGAGAAGAAAGGATGAACTGTTAACATATCTGCTTAGCTGCTTATGAATATCTTCAATCCAATGTTGGTTTAAAAAACACCAGCTCAGCCCAAGAGAACTAGGCTACCACAAAATCTTTTTCTGCATTAAAGAATTAGAATTGATCAATAGATTCACCTAAAAGTGGCTAAGAGGTTAGCAAAATCCGAATGTATACGATAGGGTTGGATTCGGTTCAGACCACCCGGCCCGGTACTGTGCGGGCCCGGGACCGGCCCGATCGGGCGATCCGGGACCGGGTATGGACCCGAACCGGTGGGAATGGGCGGGGCAGGCTCGGTGTTGGATTAATGTGACCCGGCCCGGCCCGTCCGGGTCGGGCCCGGGTCCGGGTCCGGTCTTAATTTAAAAAAAAAATTGGGTCTTGGGCTCTTGTTAGTGGGCTACTAGCCGTTGGGGGTGGGGCTGGGGACAACCCAAACGGCTATATAGCCGTTGGGTGGGGTAAAGGGGGGGGGGGTCCAGGGGGGTTGGGTGGGGGGTGAGGGTAAAAAAACCTATAAATACTCCTAATCTTAAACATTTTTTCATCTCTTCTCCAATTCTTCCTAAATCCTATTCTTAACTCTCTACTCTCTAATTCTCTTATTCTCCAATATATTATATTTATTATTTATATATCTACTTTATAGTTTATACTTAAGAAGTTAAGATGGAAAATCAAGATGCCATTATACGGTATAATTTTGATAAGCAGAAGGACCCGAAGACCGGGATGTGGTACGCAATTTGCAAATGGTGCGAGAAAAAATGTAGCATGGGGATTTCAGGCGGATACGGGATGACAATCAAGCATATGAAGTCATGTGACAAAGCTAAAGGATCAGGAGGTGCGGGAAGTTCCGATTGATTACAATTTTCAAAATGTTTATCTTAAAGTTTGTTTTAATTTTCAAATGTAGTTCCTATTTCATTTCAAACAAATGCACTTGAAGTTTGTTTTTAATACTCGTATAAAACTATAAACTATAAAATATAAATTATAAAAAAAAAATTAACCGGCCCGGCCCGAACCGGACCCGTGACCCGGGCAGGTGGCCCGACCCGAACCGGACCCGTCCAACCCTCGGGCCGGTCCCGGGCCCATGTCATACAAACCGGTGGCCCGACCGGGCCTAGGCCCGGCCCGGGCCCGAGTCCATCTCTAGTATACGACTTTCATCGAAAGAGTAGGTTTCTAACATTTCAGCTGCTATCTCACATTCTCACTTATTCCCCTTTTCTCTACAAACGGCATTAGAGGTTTGCTGTTTGATTGAATATCATCTGAATGATCACTCTATTGGAGCTATTTTTGTGGAAAAGGATGAGGCTCTAAGAGGGAGTTCTGGTGGGAGCAAAGCGCATCATGATTTATCAAAACGTGGGAAGCCTACAGCTGTGACCGGGAGGATAAAGAGTCCCTAAAACACCAGCTTTTTGACATATGTGAGAGAGGAAGACAACCGATTATAATTCTATTAATGAATTTTGTAACATAGATATTACATTGAAAAAGATGGAACACCAATTAAGCAGTGCCTGAACTTGTTGAAATAAGATAGGGGTAGAGCTACAAAGAATTTACTATGAGCCACTAGAGGTGTATAGGAGGAAAGATGAACTGTTTGTATAGCTAGATATGAATTTCTTCCCAGTTGAAGTTGGTTGGGAAAATGCCAACTCAGCCCGTTCTAGAACTAGACCATCACAACAGCTAATCCTGCATCAAACAATAAAATTGATTAACAAAATTCACTAAAAAGAGGATAAAGTGTGAGAAGGGTTGAATGGTATTCAGTTTTGACAGGAAGTCCATGACAGTTTTTCCATAGCATAAAGAACTCTACTACTTGAAGAAAGAAACTACAAAGGAAAATAAATGGAAATCTTCATTTTGATTGGTTCAAGATATTGCACAAAAAGTTTCACTCTCGCTAGGGGACTGGGGCATGTTATCGTGATTGATTGCAAACAGTTGGTAAGCTCATTCATCTTTTTCAAGTGTAGAGACTATATAAAGATCCATAATGTACAAGTTAAATAGCCCATATAATCATACGAGGTAAACAGACTGGATAAATATGCATGTACTATTTGACTTGATTTGCTCAATCCGTTCAAATATACCCCACAAATGTACATGCTTTGTAAAACAAACTATAAATGAAACCACATGAGTTCTTAGACATTTTCAAGGCTATTTGGGGAGCGGGTTGTAGAGGGGGATCCAAATAGAAGGGATATGTACCCCTTTAAGAAAAAATTTGAATGTCAATACAAAAACCGAAGCTAATGAACAAGGCATTTGTGAATAAGATATTACCTAGCAGCATCTAGCAAGTAAGTACCAATTTGTTTTCTTCTGTTGGAAGGACTAACCCAAATGGCTCTAATGCCACATGAAGCAGGTACAGCTTCCTCCTCACACAAGATAACCCCAAATCCTTCATCTGAACCTTCAAGTCTTTCCTTAGAGTGGTCTTTTCTTACTTTTTCCCGTTGAAAACAGACTCCTCCAAATTGCAGAACCGAAGATTTCTGACATACTTCCATTTTAGCCGAATTATTTGACCCGTTTCCTGATGAACTAGACACGAATCTGTAGGCCCTGGTTATTGGTTCTACTATCACACAGCCAGCAATTCTTCCAAAGGTTATAAATAAATACGCCTGTAATTAGATAGTGCATTGAAAATGCTCGGTTCAGAAAACTATGTTCAAGTGTTCAGGTCATGGAAGAACATATTACAAAACATGATGTAATTTTTGGAGTGGTATTGACAAGATACGAGTACACACAATCTGAGTATTGAGAACAAATCTTCATTCTTATAGCAATGATAACTACTAAATAAGTTGTTTTTTTACCTTGCATTGTTGATGATATATCCACCCATCTCCAAGTTCTATCTCCATCATTTTAATAACTTCTAGAACCTGAAAAATACATTAGAACCTTTAAAGTTAACCGTTTTGCTAATAAATTACTGAAAACTAGTGTTTGTTGTGAAAACAGTTTATGCCATAATAGGTGAGGTAAAAAACACAAGTTTACTTTATTTCTCCATGGAGAAGGGTCGTCATTTAACACCATGATAATGCGTCCAGTTTCAGAAGAAGTCGGAATAATTCTTTCATTTGTCCAGCCCTGCTAAGTAAATATCAGCAGTGAATATATGCATGGTGTTCACACAGAAGAATAATTACTTTGAATATAAAAAATATTGAACACCTACAACCTTGAATGGGATCCCTCGAGTGTAATTCCTGTGAATTGTCTGGTGAACCTTCTCATCCCCTTTGTTACCAGTGGCATACTGAAAGCTGCATACGTTGCAAGTGTGCAACAGGAAATCAGACTGACCCAATTCCAAATGAAATTGGGCATAGTTTCTTTTCCTAATCAAATTTTGCGGTGGAACCAATTTCACAGTTGAACTCCTTGAAGCAATATCCTCGGGTGGTTCACCATTTGATCCATCCCTGCTATCACCAAAAATCAAGTATTCATATAGCTGAACAGTCTAGGAAAGAGTAAATGATTATTATCAGCACAATTCGAACATATATGCTTTATTAAGAAATAAGATTTCAACAAGACTAAACAAATAAAGAATGACATGTTACTTGATTCGGAATAAAGGTCAAAAATTGACCAAAAAGCACATAAGATTGTGACTATGGGACATTTTCACCGCAATGAGCAGACTAATGTAGTAAACTTGAAATTGTAAAAGAAATGAAGAGATTATACAACCAAATAAAATAAATTACGTTAACAAAGCAACAGCAAGCACAGTCCAACTATAGTTACGAACAGGAACATAAAGGGAAAATTAAAAACACACACACAAAACAAAATCATTGAAGACTTGAAGTGGTTTGATTTAACAGAATGGTAGGAAAAGCTGGGCAATTCTAGAGCTCACACAGGAAAATAACAAAGACACAGAACGTACCCCGACTTGAAACTTTTACGCTTGTAAGTATTGGTGATATCAGGGTGTTCCAATTGTGCAGTCTTGCAATCAAGAAAATTGTGGGAGATCGAAGAAGCTGCGACGGTCTTGGAAATGCAGGGTTTGAAAAAAGTGTTTATTTTAGATTGCATTCTTCAAAACAATTCACTCCACGTATTCTTTCTTTGTTGCTTCAGAGCAAGGAGAGATCATACTGTAGTTCACTTTCTTCTGCACAGGTATGAGCAAAGCGTAAAAGGCCCATTCACTTGGAGGCAAAAACATTCTGCCCCGTCACAAATAAAATCTTCCCACCATCTAATTTGGGGATTCTGTCCTCACTTTTAACATTAATAATAAATAAAGTAATAATAATTGATGGGTTAGGCCACAACGGCCCAAAATTGATGGTTCTGGTTAGGTTAGCTTGGGCTAATATAAAACAAATTATTTGATGGGTTGGGTTTGGCTGAGATTTTCTAATAAATTGTAGATCTAACCCGTTTACAATTACATGTTGTACAATAAATATGCTAGGGGTTTTCTTCTATAAATAGCAATCATTTATTAGTTCATCATTACGCATCAAATGGCAATATTTTCTCTCATCGAATATGTAGTAAGCAGGTATGGGTTTTGAAGCTCAAACCACATAGAATCTACAGGGTTCCAAACAATTACACAGGATCAAAATAGTGTTTCACATAAGAGGTATGAAAAAAAGAAAGGTTGATTTTATAGAATAGTTCAAATGAAAGATATGATGCAAGGTGGTCACAAACTTTGCACATCTATAGGTCGTGTATATGAACCACAATCAAGAGCATAATGCAAATTTAGTCACAATGTTGCTATTAAGTTTCCCAGGCAATAAAAGAAATGCATCAAGGAAAGAAAGCCCTATCTTCAGAAATTTCTAGAGAATACCATTATGTGAGCATATCCTCCATCATTTGCAATGGAGCCAAACACTCACTATTTGTTGGCTTGTGGATATGATGGAATAAAGCAAAATGACTCACTTAACTGGCCACACTTCTTTGTTATGAAGCATCGGTCGGTCCATGGAATTTTCGACGAAATTTCACAATGAGTCATCCGGAAACGGTCTCTCTGTGCTTTAGTACAGGGGTAAGACTGCGTACATCTGACCCTCCCTTACCCCACCGTAGGTGGGAGCCTTTGAGGCCACTGGGGTAATGATGATGATGATGACCATTATGTGAGCATGAACAACAGAAGTAACCAACAAAAACCTTATTGAGTATTTACGTATACAAATTACCCAAAAAGCTATTGACTATACAAACTACCCTCGAGATGTTGTATGAAAGAAACTATGAAATGCGCAATTTTGGATTTGCTTTGCGATAGATTTAGTGGGTTTTCTATTATCAATGAACACCCGCATCAAAAACTGTACCTAAAAGAAAGAGAAATGAGAATGGATTAAAGTACAAAAACTGCATTTTCACCTCTTCTAATCTAAAGTTTTTAAATCAGGGTCGAAAGTGAAAGAAAAAAATTGCATTTAGTTAACAATGTCTAACGTGTTACATAATACAAAATTGGACTTTATAAAAGGGAAAAACTTCACTATTTAACTAAACATGTAAATAAAGTAAACTAAACTAAACTATATAACCACGTATTTTCACACCTCAGATTAAACTTTTAATTCTCATTGTTCATCATAATTAAAGGACTAACTAAAAAAGAAGATTCTCTTCACATCTTGCAATTACAGTACTCAAGTAATATACTTCATATCGGTATGACCAGTTTCTTCGATTGAAAAAGTTGCAGCATATACTTCGTATTATACTAAAACTGCATTTTTTCTACCTATAATATTGGTGTTCTCAAATCATAGCGCATAAAGAAAGAAAAAGTTTCATTTTTGTACACCAGAGCCACATAGTGGAGTAATGGAAGTTCATTATTATTAAGTCGAAATAATAAAGGCTGCTTCATCATGCCATTGCAGGCCAAATTAATATGAATTCAAGTAAAAAACCTGCATCATTTTCCCTCCATAAACTGAACTTCTGGATGTCATCATGTGTTCTCATTAAATGACTAATGAAAAAGAAGCTTTTTTCACTTCTTGATATCACATTACTCAAATCATAATCGTCAAATACAAAAAAAAATTGCATTTTTAACATGATAGCCACACGCTATCAGATTTTGTTATACACCTCTTATTATCCCATGAAGTAGCAATTTATTGTTTATTATAAGAACTGAATCGGAGCACAAAAGCGTGTATTATACTAAATATTAAAAAAGAAATCATCTAAATCTGAAAGAAAAAACATTTAAATCTGAAAAAGAAAACTCTAATTTGCAATATGTATTATATAACAAAACTGCATTTTTCAGTAAATATTTTAGAATTCTCAAATCATAACCCTAAAAGAAAGAAATAGCAATAATAACATTACAAACTAAACAAAAGGACTAAGAATAAAGAAGCATTTTCACTCTTTAGTTGACCTCATTGTTCCATCCTATTGCTTATTGACATTCTTCATAAAACTTGGGAGTTTTAAAATCAAATATAGATCATATAGAAAATACTAACCAATAATTGTGAGATACATTGAGATGGACTGTCCGAGTATATTTGCAAAAGTTGGAATCAATAAAGTAGGATACCTAGCCAGTAGAAGGAGAGGCCAAAAATCAGAATACCTGGAAAATAAAAAGGAGACCTCGGATTGCTCAATTCAGTTACGTGGGGACCGCTGAAGTCAAAATAGATATAAAGATGTGAGCGATTCGATGTCAGATATGCATATTTAAGCCAGATACATCAGATCTGAAATAATGGAGTCCGAGTTGAAAAGCTAGTTGGAGAAAGGAAGAAAATAGCGGATACCTCTGAATTCATACAAATGTCAGGTAGAGTCTATAATTACCTTTTCATATAATTGGAACTAAATTTGATTTTTCACAAAATTTAAATGCTCATCATGAATATAGACAATTAGAATGTTTCAAGGATAAAATAATTTGAAAGTGACCAATGTGAAATCAAGTTCTACTCTCTGTCATTTGTGCGTTAGAAATCTTTTCCCAAGAAGTTTAAGAAATGAATTAAGCCACATATTGCATTTGTTTTCTTTCCAGTAATACGTTTTGTAAACATAGGAGAGAAATGATTATATGAAAAAATGAATTTTCAATTCTTACAACACTATATTCACTGTAAAGAAATGAAAAGTAATCAAAACATTTAATAAAAGAAGCATAAAAAAGAAGAAAGTATTATAAATGAATAAGTGAATAACGAATACTTAAAAGATTCATTAAACTCTTCATTATATCTTATCTCTCAAAGATTCATCATCTTTTACTGCTTTGGGCCTGGTCTGGTTCTTTGCCATGATACATACAATTGTAACTTGATCAGCCCCATCAACAATATTGGAGATATGTCAATTTTAGTATGGGTTAGGAGGGACCTGAGAGTAAGGGAAACCCTGCTCTGGCCGATAATGTTAAGGGGGCAGTTGTTGCAGACTTCATATGGGCTGCTGAAGGAGAACTGGAGAAGGCCACTATTATCTTAGAAGGGTATGAAGATGGTAGCTTAAGCAAGCCTGTCTTATCTTAATTATTCTCTGAGAAGCCGGGACTACCATTATAACTTATCACTGTTGCAACTGGCCATTATCAGTTAAAATGGAAAGTTAGTTAAAGGAACAGTGAGAAGACAAAATAAATTAGGAAACATGACATGAACCTCGAAATAACGAATAAGGAAACTGAATGTTTACTTAATAAATTGGGAAGAAAGTTCTTTTTTGTATTATGTTTTACTTCTGAGAGTTGTAGAAGAAAGAATCATAGACAGCGGCTTAAACAATTAGAGAATAAAGAATTTGAGAATAGGAAGTTGGGAGAAGAGGAGGGTGAGGGGATTTGGAAGAGTGCAACTAATTACCATAGACATTTCAACTTTTAGTGTTGTCTGTCTTTTACCAGTACAAATGAATCTAAAATATAAACAGGTAAAGGAACAAATGCCTTTTAGGAGTTCGTAAAAATATTTAGTTTAATAAGACCAGTTTGAAGTTCCATAACAAATTATTTAGACGAATTTCATGTAATTGCTAATAATGTATATATAGTGGTTGGTATTAGTTTAGACATTTATCTGAAGTAATAGTTCACATATAAATATTATTTGTCAGAATAGAGCAACAACACACACACACACATCTATTTCTGTGTATACCACTGAAATGACCACCATATAGAGCAACAATGCCTTTAACATTCAGCCCTGTTTGCTCTTCAAAAACCGTCCTGAGGCGATCCACCTGTAATATAGCAGTAGTTTAAAGCAGGACAAACATCAAAGGCTGACTACTAGAAAGATAAATAAATAAACACCATAACCATTTGTAGCAACAGGGAAGCAGTATAAACAAATAAACACAAACCCTTTGTAGCATTACTCTTTATCTTTATTTCATAGGATGTGAAGAATGGAGAACACATCGTTCTCATAGGGAAACCATTTGATACAGTTGCTACACAGTTTGAGATATCAGTGTTCAACTTCAAATTAACCTTTTCTTTTTGTAGCCAAATGATCCATTTCATTATTAGAAATTAAGAAATAAACGAATAAAGATCATGATTGTTTTAAGAAAACGTTTTCACAAATTCGTTAAAGTGATCATGGAGCTATGGTAGATGATTTTGAATTACTATGAATCTGATTTGCTATTACTTATGAATATGTATCGCTTTTGCACTATTATATTTATGAAATTTGTAGAACCCAATGAAGATGAGTAGAATATATGGCAAACAATGAGCAGATTTGAGACGTGAATAAGAGCAACACAAAACCAAATTTCATGTTAGATATCTTTTCGGCCAGAACTCTAAAGTGCGATAGATTGAAACTATTTCTACTTTTTCTCAAAAACATGTTAGATATACAAACAATAATTCCGCTTTATTTGCAGGACAATCTAAGTATCTCAAGTGAAATCTTAAGAAAACAATTGATCAAGGATTGAGAAACTAAAAGCTTTAACTGAAGGCGTATCCAAGAAAAAAAGAATTTTAAATCCTGAACTACAAAATCAAAAACTCTGGTTGAAAATGTATCTAGGAAATTTAATCATGTTATGATCGAAAGAAAGACCAGGAACACGTTAGAAAAATGTTTAAAAAGAACGAAACATGTTAAATTGGGTTTTTATCACTAACCATAAACCTTTGACTGTATTTTCTTAACTATATGAAACGCGAGTAATGTGTTAGCGATTAAAGAAAATAATAATGAATAAATTATGAGAGCTTACCCCTAACACTGCTGGAGCATAAAAACCTCTCCTGCATTTATCATTGCGAAGTTAGAATGAAGAGAAAAATTGAAGTGCCGATTGAAGACAAATAACACAAAAAATAGTTATAGATGTATAAGATATAGGAATAAAATTTGTACTAAAACCCTAACCTTTCATATTCAAACATCTTATTTTTCCCATTGGAATCCAAATTTGGGGGAAAAAACAAAATTGAAGCGATGTGAAGGGACTCTTTATGATGGTTTATTTGCATAGGATTTCTGCCCTTTCACCAAATCTTTATGAAGGGAAAAAACAAGATCTGCTTATCTAAAATTCGAAATTATAGATAAGCAGGTTATGTAATTTTCAAGTAAAGAAGATAAAATTTTAAAAAACACCACCAGCCACTTAAAGCTATAGACAACTCAAAGAAGAGAAAAATTTCAAAAATACTACTCCAAATTTTCAATTTTTTCTCAAAGGAGAGGAAAAGAAAGGTGAAGACCTCAAGAAGATGTTAGAAACAATTCTAATGCGCTGGAAAGAAGAAAACCCAGCTGCGTTTGAGGAGTTTTTTTGAAAGAAGCGTTTGCGGAGTTTACATAAATGTCCTTAAACGTTAGCGGGGAAAAGACTTAGTTCACTTAATAATATATAGATATACATGTAAGATATCCCACCCACTTTTGTTTCTATTTCAAGGGATTTTTTCACGCATAGTACATAATCAATGGAGAAGGTTAAAGCGTTGTACTTGACTGAAACATTTTCAAGGTAAAGAAACAATGTTTAATTAAGGGCACCCTCACATATGTTTCATATGTTTCACTCTTTGTTCTAAAACTAAAAAGATCCAATATGTTTGAAAATAAAAATGGCATTGTTCCATTAGTATGCTCTAAAATAATAGTCCAATAACAGACGAAAATACTAAAGAACAAAAGTTGAAATATTTATTTTTATCATTCTCTTGTTAAAAGCTTTCAGCTAAGAAGGCTAACTTATTAGTTAACAATATAGTTAGATGTCATTCTTGAAATCGATATAATCATGACATTGCATAGGAACTTGGTTTGTACTACACTACTAATTTTCTTAATATATGAATACTTGAATTGATATCATAGATCGATTCATGTTAGCCAACCCCAAATTCTTTTGGGATTAAGGCTTGGATGTTGTTGTTGTTGTTGTATGAATACTTGAATTGATGCAAACAGATCTCAAATGATTACCATAACAAACTGTTTCAAATAGTAGCTTTTGATGGATTCCTGACCTAGAATGCTGAACATAAGAACTTGAGCTAAAAGGGTGAAGTACTTTAGTCTTTTCCTACTATTTGACATTGCTGAAATTTTTTATTCTTTGAGTTGTCTATAGCTTTAAGTGCCTGCTGGTGTTTGTTAAATTTTGCTTTATTGAGGAGCTTCTTTACGTGTTTCAAAAACAACAAAGCAGCAGGCCCTAATATTTCCCAAAGTTTGTTAAAAAAAAGCAGCAGGATGGAATTATTAATTAGAGTACTTTCATACTTATATATAATAACCAACTTACACAGGTGTAGTTACAAATGTAGTTTTTTCCTTTAAAGTAGCATCAGTGCTACTAACCTATGGTTGGTATTAAGAAAGCATTAACAATAGACAAATCTAAGACCAGACTATTGCGAAGACCAGACTGGAGCAACTCTGTAATTGACAGACACATATAGTTTACACCATAAATATAGGAATATGAGGTATATTTAAAGCTGTGCTTACTGAATAGGAATCAGACTTTCACTTTTTAAAATAAAATAAGAAGACTTAGAATGATGCTTTTGAATGTGTTAGCAATGTATTCTGAAGCAAAGAATTCTCTTCTTAGAACAGAAAAATAAGAAAATAATAAGAGCTGTTAGTAGAATGTCATAGTTATAACAGTCTTATTTTAGAAAATCAGTAAGCTTAGAGGACTGCCTAATCTTCATTGTTGGGATTCTGTTAGATCTCATGTAGTTTATATTAAAAGCACCTAAAATGTGGAGTTACAGCTTTAGGAAGGCTGTTCCAGAGTAGGTGTTTTGGTCCTTAAAATCCATCACATACTTGCAACTTTTGGTGGGACTCAATATAAAAAGTGCATGTTCAAAGAACACAAAACCTGATCAAATTGTATCAACAAAGGAGACTAAAACTCCAGAAATCATTCATGGAGATAACTACATTTTATAAGCCATTTTGGTCATTCCAGAATGAAAAGATCACAAATATAATAAATCAATGATATTTATGAAATAAAGTGATGGAAAATATGTGGCTTGATCAGACAAACCCATGTATTAAATAGATTTCCACAAATTATTGAATACCTCAGGGGTTAAAGAATCAACATGCCAACTCTTTTATAAAATCTAAGGGGTTTAACTATAGATACAGGGTATACTATGGGGAAATATTTTTCACATAGTATAAGAAAAACACAAAACAATACTAATAATATTTAGAGTCATCGTAGCTGCAAACCTGCAACTACAATTTTCACAAAATAACTCCATTAAAACAACATCATCTTTGCTAAGATATCTTTAATATGATAGTACGGAGTGTGAAAGTAATTTAGTTAAGAAAGAGCATACAGACCATTCGTTGAACTTTTAAAATGAAAAGCATGAAATCACTATCCTATCAAAATTTTGTCTACGAATACTCACCAATATTGAGAAGTTTGGAGTTGATGGACTCTTTGGAGTTGAATCAAATCAGGAAAATCTGAATTCGTTGGATGATAAGAGAGCTCCAATTCAGAGTCCAACTTCAGCGAAAAGTCTAGCAATGAAGTCTGTGCGAGAGCCCTAATTTCCCCAAACTCGAAAGAATAAGCTAGTGTAAATAGGAAGAATAGGAAGCGCGACCCCTGGGAAGTCCTCTTGCATCCCACCCACCTTTATTTTGCCGGATGTTTCTGTATGTAATACATGTGCTTGATAGCATGTATTCAATCGCATTACTATGTAAATTTTTAGAAAATATTTCAATCGCATGTAATACATGTGCTTGATAGCATGTATTCAATCGCATTACTATGTAAATTTTTATTCCCAAATAGGACTAATTACCGTCATGTTTTGACAGTGTGAGACTTCAAACATGACAGTATTTTCTAAACATGGCAGTAATTAGTTCTATCTTGGGAATAAAAAACATGACAACCCTATTTTGGAATTTTGAAACTATTTTAGTCCTATTTCGGGAACTTTCCCAAATTTTTTATATATCCCTACACATGAGCCTTAAACATACTTAGAAGTTGTTCTCTTCCCCTAATCTGAATTTTTGATCTGAATGTATTAAGTTCTTATCTGATCTAATCTGATGTGATCTGAACTGAATTTTTCTGATCTGATCTGAATCTTTCTGATTTGATCTCATCTGAATCTGTCTGATGTGATCTGAATCTTTCTGATCTGATCTGAATTCTTCTAATCTGATCTTAACTTTCCAAAGAAGTACTCCCTCTGTCCCTTAAAATTTGTCATCATTCCTTTTTGGGACGTCCAAAAAAATTTTGTCACTTTCCATTTCAATCAATTATTTTATGATTTCTGTTATTTCTCTCTTTTCTGCACAAACCTCAACCACACAGTTTTTACTTTATTATTCTTCGTGCCGGTCAACTTTGCCAAAGTTTTAAGGGAACGGAGGTAGTATATTATTATTATTATTATTATTATTATTATTATTATTATTACAAAGCAACGTTCTACAATAATAATACAATATGTCATTCTACTTAGATTGTAAATAATAATAATAACAACAACAACAACAACAACAATAATAATAATAATAATAATAATAATAACAATAATGATGATGATGATGATGATGATGATGATGATCATAATGATCATAATAATAATAATAGAATGTTTCCAATTTGCTATGAATGTTCCTGATCTCAATGTTACTCATCTGATCGGTAGAAGAAAACCCCTAGCATATCTTTCTATATACAGAAGCAAGAGGAAAAGTGCACAGTATTCCCGCCCAAAATGCGGGTCAAAATATGGTCATCTGTATTGGGTCGGGTCAAAATACATGGACAGTGCATTGGTTTGGTCATCCGTTGAAATAGCATTGGCGGCCATTGGGCAGTGCACCAGGTAACCGGATAAAAGTGTTGCCTGTATCATACATTAATATCCTTTGTGTAATTAAAGAGCATGCGTAATTAACCAGTCAAACAAAAAGTAAAAAAATAAGTGATGTGAAATCTGTCAGTCATTTGGCATATATTCATGCTTTTTAATGACATGCGTATACAAGATACAAGGGTGAGCTCGAAAATGTACTCTATAAGATACGGAGTATCAAAAAGTACTCTAAAGATATCAAAATTTATCCCAGTCAGTGTTGGGAGGTGTGTAATTTATTTGTATTGAGCCCCGAACCATAAATGGGTGAGCTGTAAACCACACTCACATCTCTATAAAAACCAGGGAGCCTGGCCAAAGGAACACACATGAAAAATAAATCACTCTGCCTCATCTCTTTCCCTCTCGGCTTATGAACCTACAATAAGCATGAATGTCTTTAGATGTACATTTACATCACACACACACAACACACAGATACATACATACATATATACATACATACATATATATATATATATATATATGTGTGTGTGTGTGTGTTCATGCGTGTATAATTATATGTGTGTGTGAGTATATATATAGATAGACGTGTTCATGTGTGTGTAAATATATGTGCATTTTGTGCCATATACCGTCATATTCACATGTAGTTATAAGTGTCATACATGTATATCTTCATATGCACACACATATTCTTGATACATATATAGAGGCATTTGTATACATATGCATGTGACGGTATATGGCATTTACATATACACACAAACATATACTTCATACGTACACTTTTTAGCATAACTAATGTGTTTAGAAAATGGCATCAACAAAATAGTTTTTGAAAAAAACAATTAGGCTTCATGTTTATTAAAAATTAGAGTGATTGTCTTTCAATACTCTTCAGAATAAGGCATTTAAGCATACACATCGAAAAATCAACAAGATTGAGGCTTGAATGCATTTGGGCTATGGAATAAAAGTTCTGATTTTGTTTAGGGCTTTGAAAACGGTGTGTAATTGTAATTTTGTACATTGTATTTTTCATATTAGACCAATTTTAATATGATGATCTAAATAAAAGTGGTCATTTAAGATGCAACTGATATTAGATAAGTTGCAAACTATAAAAAATATGAATGTGTGCTCAAATGCAAGAATCAATCTTTAGGTGGCTTAAAGAATGAAGATAGATAACACATAACACATAATAAAGTCAGTTATAAACAGATCAGAGTAAGTCAGAATAAAACTAAAATTGGATTTAGATAAAAACAATGGCTATTGTACTTACCAGTAATTTAATAATATCAAATCAATTTTCAATAAAAAATCAACTCTAATAGTAAACACATTATCTATCCAGGCATCATTGATACTTGGCCTTATATATCCTGACCTTGGTTATGTTCTCTTACATATAACCAAGGATTATAACGAGGCCTTACTAAGCATTTTAAAAACAACTGCAATTCAGAAATGTTTTTAGAAACAATCAGACTTTGATGGCT